GGGGCGGGGCAGGGGGCAGAGAAGCTGGAAAAGAGGGGGGTGAAGCTGGGCGGGCGGAACCCTGGGGTTCCTTGGAGGCTGGGAGTGGGGCCCACGTCTTAGAGGCAGGCGGGGCCGATACAAGGCCGCGCACGTCTCGGGGTCCAGAGGAGGAGGGACGAGGAGGCCTTCTGAACCGAACTCTGCACGGAGGGAGGGGAGAGGTTGAGCTTAAGATGGATGGAATGGCAGACACCCGGACAATGGAGAGAGGGACCCTAATGCCCAGGATAAGCGTGAGAACGGAACCGGATAAGCAAAGTGCGGACAAGAACTGGAAATATGGGGGTGGCAGTGCGATCCAGCCCGGGGCTAAACCCGGCCCCCTTAATATCCCTGCTTTCGCATGAGCCAAATTGATCAGTTACTGGTCTCCACACCGCCCTCCTTTCCGCATGTTGTCGGCAATATATTCCTCCCATCGCTATTGATTTCTATGGGAAATACCAAAAGAACTGAGGAGGGTGGCGGGAGGCTGCACCTGGGTGGGAAGGATGCCGGTCACAGATTTGGAGCAGAGATGCCGGATGGGACGACCTGTACCAGGGACCGGGAGAGCGAAGGGGAACTGACAAGGAGGCCCTTTAGAAGAGGGACTTTGGGCCCATAGCACACAGTCTGCCTCCTAGCCGAAAGGAGCGCATCCCTCCAAGTCCCGCTAGCCAACGGAAGCACTTTTCCAGGCTGATTAGAAGGAGCGTCTTTAATGGGCCCCGCCCCCCACGCCCGCTAGGCCGCCCCCCTTGCGCGCAACCTTGGCTTCCTCCACCGCTGCCCTTAGGGCACCGGCAGGGTCCCCGCGGAGCCGAGTCAACGCCCCCAGCAGCCCAGCGGAGCCGTCCCCCGCATGGAGCTTTCGGCCGGTCAGAAAATAGTGAGGCAGCGTTCCGGCCTCGAGCACACGGCTCAGCTCGTCCAGGAGCCCGAGGCAGCAGGCGCCCGCATTTTCTGGCCGCCCCAGGTAGAGCGCCGGCAGGCGCTAAAAGCAACGTCCGCAGGAGGTAGGGCGCCGCAGTCCGAGTCCCGGCCACCAGCGGGCGCAGCAGCGCCTGGGCGGCCGCGTGCGCCTGCAGCAGCGGCGCGGGTATGCGCGCCTTGAGCGCCAGCTCCTGGCGGGCAAAGCAGAGCTGCCACCCGGAGGGGCCCAGCCGCTCAGTGCCGCCGGGCACCAGATAAAAGGAAGTGGACTCGGAAGTCAGAGGACCCGCCCACGAGTGGCCCCGAGTTCCTTCGGGCCAGCCTGCTACGGACACCACGGGAATCAGGTCGAAGAGCAGAAGACGGCGCGGGGGGCCTGGCGTAGCCAGGAGGATGGTGGTGAAACTCCCATGGCGAGCTGCGTGCACCAGGCGTGGGGCGCCTGGAACTGGGATCAGTGACTCTGCCACGGTGGCCAGCGTAGCAAAGAACCAGGCAGCCACTTGGGAGGGGCACAATGTGGGCCACATCTCCCGAGTCTCCGACGGCTTAGGAACCGAGCTTTCGACGGCTGCCTCGGTGACGCAACCGGTGACGCTACTCAGTTTTTTCAAGGGTGTAGGAGAGCCAAGATCGGTGACGTCATGCTCAGGCGACTCGGACCCTGAAACGTCACTAGGTGATTTTTCCAAAGACGCGCTCGGCTCAGACTCAGTGACGTAACTGTGCGTCTGGTCCACTGAAATTTCCCTGTCCGTGGGACTTCCATCGCTCTCAGTTCGGAGAATCACATCAGGTCCTCCTGGAACTGGAGGACCTAGGCAATCCTGCCACGCTTCTCGGACAGGGGTTCCGCACACCAACTCGGGAAGGCGGAGCCAGGCGTAACAGGATTCCAGATTCAGTAGCAGTTCTCGCCCAGTGCCATCCAGAGAAAATATGGGTACTAGAAGTGTGAAGCCAGCGTCGTAATGAGGTCCCCGGGTGTAGGGACCTAGGGGTGCATGTCCCAGATCCACAGAGCCCTCGCGAATCCCACCACGAAGCAGCAAGAGTTCCGCCTGGGGAGGAAAGCGCGGGTCCTGGCGGTGAACTAGACCTAAGGATAGAGAAGGGATCGTGAGGGCGTTGCCTAAAGCCGGGGCAGGGGCGTGGCGAGTGGCGAGGCGGAGAGCTGGAGCTCCCAAAGGCAAGAAGGCTTACTTACCAAGCAAAGAGAAGACGAAGTCCTTAGCCCGGAGGAGGTCTGCTCCTGGCTTGGGCCCATCACTCCAGCTCTCCTGCACCCCCAGCTCCTGAATCAGCTGGGTCAGTTCCCGCAGCTGCGCCCCAGAGCAAAAGTCGATGTCCGTGAGCGGCCGGGCTGGGGCCGGGGGCGGCGGGCCCCACCAGGGGGCATTTCCCCAGACGGTGGAAGCCATACACCTCTATCTTTTTTCTCTAGGAAAACACGGACTGGAGGTAGCCTAGACGGGCCTTTCCTTTGCTGCCCTAAAGTCGTCTCGTTCTTCTCTCCGAGTCCGAATGCCCCGCAGACACAGTCCACAAACGGGTCTGCAGATGCTAGGTTCTAAATTTGGTCTTCAAAATAAACAAATAAATGCCTCATCTGTCCCCGCCCCCGTAAACCGGTTCACCTGACTCAGCAGGTAAAAAAGTAGCTGTGAGGCTCCTCCTTAGGATACAGTTGCCAGACTCCGCTGCTGTCTCTAGCTTACCTCCCTTACCTCTTCTCCGGAAAAGGCTTATTAATCTGAGGCTTCCCTCTTAGGAGTAGCTGCAAGGGTGGGGAAGAGAAAGCTTAGGACGATTCCACAGGTAACTTCTTCCTGATGCCCACAGAGCCCCGCCCCTACATCTGGACCACGCCCTCTTCTGGAGGTTGTCGCAGTAGTTCCGCCCAGGTCCAGCCTCCAGTCGGAGTTCAGCCACACCTTTAGTGGAGATCTCGCGCTATCCTGGGAGTTGTAGTTTCCCGCGCTCTCTGGGCGTTGGGGCCACGCCCCCACACCCTTTCACGCTCCTCCTCCGTAGTGCTTGATGGAAGTTGTAGTTTCTATGGGGATAGACTATTCCGTGTCTTTCCATGCCACGGTCAATCCCACCCAAACATTCTATTTTTTTTAAGACTTATTTTATTTAACTTTATTTATTATTATCATTATTATTTTTCAGGTTGATCAGAGAGAGACAGAGAGAGAAAGAGAGAGGAAGTGAGAAAGCAAGCCACCAGGTCTGAGACTTGAACCGTGGTCCCCCATGTGGGAGTCCAGAGCCTTTAACCACCATGCCACTTGTCAGCCCCAACCACCCAAACATTCTTTGGGGTTGGAGCAAGAGAGGTCATCGTCTGGATCTGAAAAACCAGCCAACCATGCACAACCTAGGTCCTGGGGAGAAACGGGGGCCTCTGCATCCCATGTGTGAATAGAATAGTCCTGGTGTTTTGCATCTAGGAGGATTCTTCCATGCAGTTTTATAACTTCATTTCGGGGATGAGACTGCAAATTGCACATGACTTGTCCAAGGTCACAGGGGAGCCAGGGAGGTATTAAAAGGGACTCCCTGACTGGGTGGGGAGACATCATCTTGGGGCCAGCAGGTGGTAGCAATGGGTAGTAATACGCAGGCAGTCACCCAAGAATGGCTATCAGGCTTATGGATGAGATGCACAAATAAGAAGTATTCAAAAAGCTCATGGAAATGCATGTTACGAGAAAGCTGTGCATGCATTTACAAAAGCTCTGGCATGGGACTGGCAGGTGGTGTGATGGTTAAGCGTGCTGGACTCCCATGTGGCTGACTGTAGTTGGCGACCCATTCTCACTTTCCCTCTCTTCTCTTTCTCATTCTAGTCAAATTAAAGATAAATTAGATAATTCTTTTTTTAAAAAAAAGCTCTGGCACTAAGAAGATAAACTCATACTTTTTTTTTTCCCTCCATTAAAACCAGGGTCAGCAGATGGCAAGTGGTTAAGGTGCTGGACTCCCACATGGCTGACTACAGTTCAAGTCCAAGAAAACCATGCATGAGTCATGCATATCTGACATGTTCCAAAACACTTTGGAATCTCTCAGTTTGTATGTATACACAGAAGCGTTATCAGGACTGAAAATCGGGTCCAGAGGAAATTCCCAGCTGGGCCGGGGCAGAGCACTGGAAAATGTTCAAGGGCAGGAAATTGCTTTCAGTAACCTATGCTATCAGGGACCAGAACACACCTTAAGGCCAGGATGGGCCCAGGAGCTCCGATAATGGGACAGAAAGATGGGAAACCAGAAGCAGGCTCACAGACCTAATCCCTTGCTGAGCCAAATGTC